CGAGGCTCAACGGCGAGCAAATATAAATGTAAGCTCAGCCGGAGTCGAGGCTCAACGGCGAGCAAATATAAATGTAAGCTGAGCCGGAGTCGAGGTTCAATGGCGAGCAATAATAAAACATCGGCTCTGCCGGAGTCTATGAATAAATTCAGCCCCAGCATCGATAAACGAGGTTGAACCCGTCATAAGTAAGGGAATCCGTCCCAAGTATTAATAAATGAGTTTGACTTCGCTTTGAAGAGAAAAGCTCGACCTCATCGTGGGTTTGTAAGGTCGGGGATGAACAAATAATGAATCAATCCGATAGGCTGGTACCATTAGTGAGCGTCGGAATGAATGAACCGGGATTTGTGATGAGTAAATAATAAACCGACCTGGTGAGACAGTTCGTCTGTGGGCGTATAATAAATCAGCCCTGTATGAATGAGCTTGGCCACGACTATCGTCGGTTGAAATAAATTTGTCCTCAGTGTCCTCAACTTGTGTATATGAGCTCGGCCCGGCTAGTATTGATTCGAATAAATAAATCTCGATCCCGGAATGTTACCCAATAGATAAATTGGCTTGGTTTTTAGCTACTCCTCTTCCCTTTTGTTTGGGCCAACTTAAGCATAAGGCCCAAATGGATTTTAAATCAGATATTAACTAAGCAGTCCGATTTTCACTTCTACATATTTCTCTCACATCGTTCGCCTCGCGGATAACGATAAAAATCCTTTGAGATAGCTCGGAGATTCAAGACGACAAAGTCGGTTTCGGTCGAATTTTGTAGTGCAGTCGGCCTATCGAGATCTCGACAAGGTGAAGTCGGTGAATTGCTTAGGAAGTCGGCCGGATTGGGAAAAGTTCGGCCTCGGTGACCGAGTTCGCGTTGCGGTGGCTGCTCGGGAGACCCATCAATTAAAGTCGGTCAATTTTGAAGTCGGAGAAAAGCGGTCGGGATAGGGCTTGAATCTGGCCTGAAGTGACGGCGGCCCCGATTTTAAGGTCGGTTTTGAAGGTGATGTCGGCGACGATGATGTCGGGCCCGGCAATTCGGTTTGGAGGTCGACGAGAGTCAGTCCCGATTCCAAGATCCGACTTGGGCCCTGCAGCTGAAGTCGGTCGCGGCCATTTTCTTGCCGAGTTACGTTAGCCGATGTAGGTCGGCGACTTTATGCGTTGAGGTCAGTGTTGATGAAGTCAACCGACTTTTAAGGTCGGGAACACTGGAAAGTTGGTCGGTAGAGTCGTGGTCACAAAGCTCGGCAATTGTGAATTTTGAGAAGTCGGATATGGTGGATGCTCGGGCCCCCATCTATTGAAGTCGGTTAAATTTGAAGTCGGAAAATTGATGTCGGATCTCGGCGACCGCCATCGTATTTCGCGGCGTTTTCGATAAAGATGGAGTGGGCCCCGTGATATTGGGCGGCCATGTCAACGTGTATTACTGGAGCATCGTCAACGTGTATCACTTTTACTTATTAGCCGTTTCCTGCTGATGAAGCCATCGGCCATTTGCAGGTGATGGCATCTATTGATGACGATGACTTCTTATGGCGGTGCTGTCGTAAATCACCTTGACTTTGTCGGTGAATTTACTGCTATTCACACATCCATTTCGAGCTTGTCCGATCATCGACCGTTTCTGCGCGACTCTCTTCTCTTATGATGATACTATATTGGTCTATATAGAGGAATTTTGCAAAATTTCCTTTCTTTTGTTGTAATAAGAGGAAAAGGGGATGATAGGTTCCTTTATGGTCAGGTTCCCAAAAGCAAAGATAACACTGTTGTTATCGTCATATATTCTGAAACTTGCAGCAACAGCACCGAAACACTCTCATTTTCTCTTTGTATTATTTTTTGTTTGCTTACAGAGAAACAAAGAAATAAGGAATAATCATGGTTTCCCAAGCTTTTTTGGATGGTGTTTTCAGGATCGGATTTGTACCAAGAATTGATTGCGTATGTGGTGTTAAGTTGGAGAATTACCTCGAATCAATTACGAGGCCCTCCTTCTAGCGCCAAACTGTTGATGCTCGAAAATTGATCAACATGGGGGGTTCAGAAGAATTTATTGTATATTTTTAGGTATATATTTTTTGGTGATTTTTGAGGATTTTTTTCTGTACATTTTTGTGATGAATTTTCTGTATCTTTTCATCCTTCAGAAAATAAGATCAAAAGATCAAGAGGAAGAGAGGCACCGCCTCCTATCAGAGAGAGAAAATAATAATAATGCCCCTCAGACTTATCTATCCAGGTCCATCATTGGGGTATTTATATATATTTTTAATGGGCCCGATATTATCACAAGCAGTATTATTTAAGGCCCAAAAATATCCCAAAAATAAAATAATTAATATAATACATATCCACGTGTAATATTTTAATAGGCTAGGCCAAAATTAGGTATAAACAAGTAGTTAGGAAGACGAGTGAAAGCAACCTCTGGAGGATGGATTCCCTACATCAGAGTACGAGAGGAGGGCGAGAGCCCTGATACTCTGGTGTATTGGGTCCTTCTTCTTTCCCGACCATCGGGCCACCGGAGTCAACCTTTATTGCTGTCCCTCTTGACTGACATCGATGCCATTCCGGGGTGCAGCTGAGGTGGAGCGCTTCTGGCCTGGGTATATATATAGAGCGCTCTGCGACGCCTACGAGAGGGAGGAAAAATATATCAAGAGCTGCGTGCAGTTGATTCAAGTAAATTTATTTACTTGTTAATTGCAAATTAATTTTATTATTATAAATTACAATAATATGTGCTAAAAAATGTATATGTCCATATGTGCAGGTTTGGGCATGGGAACGCATCCCTCGTATTCTCCCATTTATGAAGAGAACGCATTTCGGCTCTCAGGGTGGTTGTCCCTTGGGTGCAAGGTAATATAACCTTTATTTATATTTAACACTTAAGTTATTTCAATTATCAAATTTTGTAATTACAAATAGTTTTTATCTGTGATTTTTAAGGTGGGTGGGATCGAAGGACTTGAGGCACGTGGGGACGGGCACGGCTACCATCCGAGATCTGCTGAGTGGCCTGAGAGAGACTGATGTAAGTTTCTTAGGTCATAATAATAAATAATTATTATTTTTTTAATTCTATTTTTTATTAAATTCATTAATAATTCTATAATTTTTTTTTTTACAATTCGATTTGGTACCCTATCAGACGTACATAGACGAGGGTCGGCTCCCGGATCAGTGTACACGAGACCGACATCTCTGGATGTACAAAGGGTGGATCTTCTGTTGGAACATCGGAGAACCCCACCAGCCTGATAGGGTGCTCCGCCAGTTTGGGTGCCACCAGCCCATCCCCCAGACGCCGATCATTACTAGTCTGGCCGACTGGGACACCCACCACAAAGGCCAGGGCATGACTGGGAGGGCATATACCGATTGGCGGGCCTTCCATTCTGATCTTGTGAGGATCTGGACCGACGAGAGAGATCAGAATGTCCTCCCAGATGTACCAGTAGATTCCTTCCTGCAGCCGGCAGAAGGGTACATCGATTGGTATCACAGTAGGACTGTGAGACTATTCAATGACCCTAACAACTACGTGGCGATCTCACAGGACGTCGGGTTTCAGCCATATGCCGACCGAGAGAAGTGGCAGGTAAGTGTCTGGTAATTTGTGATTATTATTATTATTATTATTATTATTATTATTATTATTAATATTGAAGTTATTATTATTATTCTTATTTTTTTTAGCTTTTCATAATAGTTATTTGAATTTTATTTTCAGAACTCGGGTACGGAGAGGGCGTATAACACGCTATCGAACCTTGAAGACATGTTTGATACGCTACCTCCACGAGTGCAGCAAGGGTTCCAGCAAGCCCAGGAACTTCTGTACGCTTCTCTGACTGTTGGGGGCCAGTCGGTCACACAAGGGGCGTCGTCGGGACAAATTATATCTCAAGAGGAGTATGCCCCACCCCAGCAGACACAGTCCCAGCGGGCGAGGCATAGACCGGTGCCCCACATTGGTGAAAGGAGAAGAGGCCGTGACCGCGAACCCGCCGTTGCATTTCCCGGGAATGAAGAAGACGGAGAAGGTGCGATTTTTTTATTTAACTACAAATATATATTTTATTTTTGTTTGTTTTTATTTATTTATCCGGTTGAATTACTGATTTTTTACAAAATTTAATTAATTAGGTGAAGAAGAAGAAGAAGAAGAACCAGCCACGCCTGGACCGACCGCAGGATCGTATTCTTTGGTACCAGGGCCTCAGAGAGGGTCTCGAAAATGCAAGCCTAAGAAAACATTTACTCCTAGTTAGTTTGTTTTGTATTCTGTGATTTTTGTGGACATTTTATTTTTTTCTTTTATTTTTTGTACTGGATTTTCAGATATTTATTCTTGATGGTTTTGTGTACATATTTTGTGGTTCACTTTTTTTTTGTCGGTAATTGTGGTTGTCTTTTTGTATATAGTGTTTCTTGTATGTAAGCATACTTGATTATTATTTGACTAATGAATTGATATTAAAGTCATATTATTTCGTGTTCAAAATGTTAAATCAAAATTTATAAAAAACCTTCATATTGAAGGATAAGAATAAAAATTCAGCCAAAATAAACGTGATCGCTGGTAAACGAGTTCGTGAGCATCCAAGAGTCGAGCCTAATTTAAAAAAAAATAAAAAAACTAAATAAATAAATAAATAAATAAACACGGAACAGATTCTAAGAATCCGTGCTCTAATATAAAACGGATTGTCTGGATTGTGCTAGTTAACACGGATATTCATAAAACGTGTTTGGTTGAATTAATTACGGTTAATAACGTCATTAAGAAAAGACGAATTATGAAAATCCGTCTTTTGCTCGGAATTAAGGCAAAACGGATTCTAAGAATCCGTGTTTCCTTAAAACACGGATTCTCAGAATCCGCCTGTTTTATTTTTTTCCACACTGCTTTTTTTTTATTTATTTTTGTCCACATATATTTTTTTTTTAATTAAATAAATGATTCAGTTATTTCGTCTTTTCTTGTACAGCAACTAAGGACACATGGATAGTGACTAGTGATGTCTTCTAGGTGATGGCAATTCCAACTTGTCTTCTTCGCCATCAATTATCTCATCATTTGATTGGTCTTCCAGCAGATGGCAATTCTAACTTGTCTTTCTTCGCTTAATAATTGTGTCATGCATTTAAATTTCCTTTGATGGTTTTGGTAGAATATATATTGCAAGCTGGTGATTCATAAAAAAATTAGAATGTAAAACAAGCAGAGGAACAAAGAATGGCTGGCGAAGAACAAGTGGATGCTTCGAGTTTGCTGCAGAAAGATTACTACTTCGATGATTGCCCAGGATGTAAGGTGGATCAGCGTAAAGAATTACAAAGAGGGCTGCCCATTAAACAAGTTCTCACTGTATGGCTTATTGTTCTGGCAACATGTAATGGATTTCACACTTTTTTCATTTTAATTGTTTTTTTCTTTAAGAACAAAATGTGTTGGATTTTGTTTGTGTTCAACCAAGGGATTTTTCGTCGTTTGGTTTCATTTACTATTGTTTTGTGGGTTTAATTGTCTGAATATCAAATTTACAAATGCTGTTCCGTTCGTGTGTTTGCAAGGCCAATTTACAGGGCCATTTAAAGAAAAAGACAATATGAAAAGGAAAGAGACAATCTCTTGTTGGTTTGTTTTTACAAAAATGATGGCTTTGTTGTTTAAATAAAAGTTTTCTGACCATCATGACATGTTGTGTTATGATAATTATGCTTTTTTTGAATGTTGAAAGTGATTTAGAGTGCTATTTTCATCACTAACAATGTTTCTCGTTCTACATTGAGCAACCGGTGTATTCATTCATGTTGGTCTAATATTTTTTCATGTTCTATTGATTTCTTTTATGTGCCGTCACATCTGCAGCTCTGCCGATATCATCTCTCTTCCCATTCCTTTATTTCATGGTGAGTACTTAAAATTTAGCTTTAGTATAATTAGATTTTCACTCACTTCAAATAAGGTCTATTAAAATAAGGTATATTAATAGTCTTTCATCTTGGAGTTAGTTATGCTTCACTATCCAAATTGCATTCTCGTTTCCTTGTGTTTCGTGCAAGGGTAACATCTGAGCATTTGATGTTTGGCTATCAGCTAGCAAAACCCAGAAGTACTCAATTTCTATTGTAACTTTCTAATTTTAGAGCAAATAAATGAAGTAGTATTTTTTATTTATTTATTTTTTTTTTTAATGTTTTGGAACCTTGGAAGTTTAACAAGGACAACCTGATTATGACTAAAAATGTGAGAAATTAGAATATCTATTCCCTTTATGTGCTCTATTTGGATAGGAGACCCCATATATTTGTTTTTTTCCACAGGAAAAGAAGGTCCTTATTGTATTGGAACAATATTTTTAAGAGCAGCTTTTGCCCCTCTAGAGTTCTCTAACATATTAATGGGATACATTAGCATTATCTCTCTAATCAGAAAATATATTTTCCATTTCAAGATTAATATTCAAAGGAAATGTGATATGCTTCATCCATCATGTGAGTAGGATGGTTATTCAACATTGCTCAGGGCTCACCAAACCTTGACAATTTGAAGTAAACATGTTACTTAGAATGAATAGTTAAGTATATCCATCTCAACCAAATGAAGCAAATAAATGATTAGGTTTAGCCTTTTTCTAGCCTTTTTAGTCCAGTTGAGGTGCCCTTGCTCCAATAAACGTTAACTCGTAAATATAGGCGTAACAATTGTTATGCCTTTTTTTCCCAGCATGTATTCAATATTAAACCTCTTTGCAGGTAAGGGATTTTCGCATTGCAGAACAAGAAGAAGATATTGGTTATTATGCTGGTTTTATAGGTTTGGTGTATTTGCAATTTTTCAATATATATTTGAAATTTGTTCATCAAATCCTCATTGTAATTATCAAAGGCTTGATAAAAAAATGTCAACTCGTGAAAGGTTCCACCTTTATGCTTGGAAGAGCTTTGACATCTGTCTTTTGGGGATCAATTGCTGATAGATATGGCCGCAAGCCTGTAATAATTATAGGCACTACCACAATGTTAGTTAACAATCTAGTTAATGTTCCTCTTTTTTCCCACTTACCATATCCTAATAATGTAATTGTTTTTCATTGACAGCGTTATAGTCAATACTCTCTTTGGGCTCAGTATAAACTTTTGGATGGCCATCATCACAAGGTTTCTTCTTGGAAGTTTGAATGGTTTACTTGGACCTATAAAGGTATTTTTTGCCAAAGCACATTTCAGGTTAATTAAGACCTAGTGCTGCAGCTTCATTGTACTAGTGGATTTTTATTCACTTTCTAGTGCTATTTTATACATTCATACTATGCTTAATCCTTGGGCAGGCATATGCGTGTGAAGCAGTTCGTGAGGAACATCAGTCTCTAGGATTATCAGCAGTAAGCAGTTACTAATGGTCTTTTGCAACTTTATTGTATAAGAGTGTGAGATAAATGAAAAACAATGCTGTTAAATGTGGTCAAATAAGGATATATGACCAGAGAAGAACAACCACTGAAAATGCAACGGACACGTGCACAGAAATTTAAAATGTGCATAAAACATACACCAATTGTTAAGAATGTTGTACTAACCATGTTTATTCTCATAAGTCAAAACGGCAAAACCTCTGTACTTACTTTCGTGTTTATTGGAGTCAACCTGCAAAACGACATGGCAGTCAATCCATCTGCATATAGTTTGTTCAATTTATTTTGAAAAACTCTCCAGGGGCCTAATGCAGTGAAAAATGCCATCTATTTCTTTTAAGTTGTACCCTATTCGTTTAGGCATTTTTTCTGTAGCTTTCTTCTTAAGGGTTCAACTTACATTTTCTAGGTCAGTACAGCATGGGGAACAGGATTAATTATTGGACCAGCTTTGGGAGGCTTTCTTGCTCAGGTACTTATTCGTTTGTAAGTCATCTGATACTTCTTTCCATCTAGAATGGCTGGGGATGTATAATTTTTGCTGTTGTGTAGCCATCTTGAAGTGCGAAATAAATAGGAGCAGGCAAAGGGGAAAGTTTCCAAAATAATGTTTCGGCTAAATTTAAACAGCTTTTTTGTTGCACTATTGTTATATTATGTTAAAAAAGTGATCATCTTATTATTAATGTGAAATCCATGTAACCAGAAGACAGTAATTTCAGAGAAGTGATATTATCTCCACTAGATATTGGACCTCCCTGAAGAAGCATATTCATACCTGAGGTCCATAATACTCATGGAAAACTTTTGTGATGTAAATCTCCTACACAGTGAGTTGTACAACATCATACATGTTAAGCTTGCTTGTAACATTATACTTCATGTGTTATGTAAATAAGGTTTCAGGTAGTTTGTCTATGTATCTGCAGTTTGCACTTGCATGTTTTCTCTGTTAATTTTCTCCTTTTATTCATTTTATACGTTACTACAAATCCAGTGGTGCCATGCATGGAATCGGGATTATCCCGCCATAATTTTCTGATAACTTGAAAAGACTATATATATCATCTCCAAAATGATGTTAATAGAATTGTCAAGCATTTTCTGCTTTCTGGAAACCCATCACCAATTCTTAGAGAATGGAAAAGAATTTATCATGTATTTCACAGCAGATGAGAATCAAAGGTGAAAACCCGCTATCACATTACAATATTCAATGTGTAAATTATGTTATGTTTTGACCTGAGGTCTTAACTTTGTTTAGCTTCTTTTATCTTTAAAATGACGTTGAGCTCACGAGCGACATGTCTATAGTTATGACTACTTTGTATATTTTATTATAGAAGTATTTATTTTACTATACAATTTATATTTGAACTTGCACGTGTATATATCTTCCTCTTTACTACTTTTCATTGTATTTCAAATTTTTTCTTATGAAATTTTTGGGGTAAGCCGGCAGAGAAATTCCCTGGAATTTTTGCACAAGAATCTTTGTTTGGCAGGTATATTTTCTTTTTTCTTTTTTTCTCCTACATTTATTTTCATCTTCTGTTATCATAATCTACAACAATACAATTATTTGGTAGATTCCCCTACCTCTTGCCCTGTCTAGTGATTTCACTCTTCGCCGCCATTGTGACAGTTGTTTGCTACTGGATCCCGGTACATTTCTTATGCTTAGCATTCTTTGTTTCTTTCTTCAGTTTCTACACATTTTTTTTTCTTGCTAGTTTGGTTAAAACTTAAAATGTACATAGTGGACTTTGCTTCTCTTACCACCCATACGTAAAATTGTAACTGAAAGTATATTTATCAAAGGTTTTATTGCCAAAAAAAAGTTGTTTGTATAGTGGTGGTAAGTTGTTGGTCATGTTCAGTTATTTAAGAAAGCTAGAAAATTGTGTGCATGTTCCATATATGTTACTGGCGTACATATTACTTGTATGCCAAATTGCTAAAGTTATCTTCATCATATTTACAATGGGGATTACTTTACGAAATGCAGGAAACCTTGCACACACACAACTCAACAAATGTATCATCCCAAAGTTGTTATGCTACTTTGGAGTCTGGGAATGAAGAGAAGATGGGTGAAAACAAAAATACTCCTAACCAAAGCCTACTTAAGAACTGGCCCCTCATGTCGTCCATCATTGTATATTGCATTTTCTCACTTCATGATATGGCTTACACTGAGGTAACTTATATGTCACAGCCGAAGTCTATATATCACTTAACTGCCCAAGTTTATATATTGCTTTACTTTTCATAAATTGTTGATTTATTTGAATGTAGATAGTGGTTCAGCAATCATTATCAAATGTCGTCATGATGCCCAGCTGTATACTGGGCTTTAAGACTGAAACCATGTCTCTCTTTCTTGCCATTTGATATGAATTTTTGCATTTTTTTTGTTTTATTTTTTGCTGTTAAAGTGCATTAAATTTAGGAAGAAAGAGGAGATATACTCGACTTTCTGTATAATTATCGAGCAGCAACAATTTTCAAGTAAAATCTACCGTCATTTAGAGCAAAAGGAGAGATGTCATTTAAATTCTTTTACTCCACTTGGACACAAGGATCATATTTTGGTTGTAAATAGTGAAATCTTGGGAAGACTGGAGACTAATTTTGAAAAGTTGAATTTATCACATTGCATATGTTCATGATAAAAACATTTTAATATGTATAATTCCAATATGATTCTCTTGGAAACTTTTTTGTTGACCTGCTTGCATACATCCATATGTTGTTGAACCATTTGATAGATATTTTCATTATGGGCTGAGAGCCCCAGAAGACTTGGAGGCTTAGGCTATACAACTGAGGGTGTTGGCACAGTTCTTACCATCTCAGGTGTGGGGTCTCTGGATTTTCACCTTTTCTTGTTCTGTTCTTTCTTCTATATATATATATATATATATATATTTAATGTTACATAGTGGTGCTTTAATGAACCATATCGGTAGGATTCGATGCTTTAGTGTAATGTAACTTCTGCTAACCAGACCTTAATATTAGAATTAGAACTATAGATTGTGCCCCTAAGCAGATTGAGACATAAATTTTGAAGTATCTAATTTAGAATTCAGATTGACTAAACAAAAAACACAGGAGTTTGCATTCTCTCACCCGATCAAGCAAGACGCAAGAAAGCAGTGATATAACTAATCTAAATTAAGCTTCAGCAGGTGCTATTTTTTCTATAAATGTGATGTAGGGAAGTGTAGGACGATATTAATGAGATCACAATCTCAAGAATACCAAAACATGATAAACTCAATCATTTTCTTATTTCATATTCAACTCAACTCCACTGAGTAAAACAATAGATATGGAGTCCTTTAAATAAGGATCATAAAACCCTATTCCTAACTTGTCCAACAAGACAAGATCTCTTATAATCATATCTAATTCTAACTTATTCTCCAAGATATCTAATAATAATAATCTATATTTATATAATAATAATTAATATTTATCCAAATTAGTAGGTCAAATTATGGTCAATGTCGGATTTGCATTAAATATTTTCCAAAACTGGTAAATTTTTGTCATTTTCACACTTCTCATTAATTATGTCCTTTTCACACTTCTCATTGTCCTTTTTCTAACTTCTCATTAATTATGTCCTTTTCACACATCTAATTAATTCATTAATTATGACATAATTATCATAAATCATTCCATCTCGTTAAAATGTATAGCGATCTGTTATGACCTTATCCCATTGATATTTCCATGAAGCGTCCTTATCGCGTTCTATTTTTTGGTAACCACTCTATATCAACAACCGGATATTTGGTTAATGATATAACACGTCTTTATTTCTACGAGCGGATATTCTTTGACCTTTAATTAATCTGAACATATTGCCTTGACTTTTCAATTTTTAAAAACTCTTTTTTTAAATATTTCGACTTAAGATTCGGATTTCATTATACAAGTCATCGGATTGTTTGAATGAAAATGAATGAAAAGAACACCAAAAACAGGTAGCCTTGTTCATATAACCAATCCTAAAATATTAGTTTGTTCACCAAAAAGAGACAAATATTAGAAATCCTAAAATATTAGTTTGTTCACCAATCCTAAAATATTAGTTTGTTCACCAAAAATATTAGTTTGATTTTTAGGATTTGTCTCTTTTGAAAATATTAGTTTGTGATAATGAGGAGTTACCAAATAATCAAACGCATAATGTTGTGTACAAGGAGGTTTTTAATAATATATGACTGTTACCGAACTTTTTATGATTCAACAATGTTCCTATGTATTTTAATGATTTCAATTTCGATCCTAATGCACGTGAGGTTATATTATTCTTCCAAATTTTACATCCCGTGCATCGCACGGGTTACGTACTAGTAATAATAATAATAGTCTACACCAAAATGCTTTATGAAAAGATAGCCTCCCAAGGTTTTGAACTCTGAAGCTGCATAATTTTGATAGGAACTTTCATGGCCTTTAATGTAACTAGAGAAGGTGCATCAAAAACTGAAGTACCAATTGTTTGTTGTGGAGTGACATGATCTTCTATGTTTCACTTGATCCGTCTGTCCATTGGTCTATTCTTTTCATATTTTTTAGTTTCAGCCAAAGTTTCTCTTGAATAAGCTTGTTTTGACAATCACTCTTTCTTGTAGCTGATTTACTTACATTTATTTATGTGATGCTGATGGGCAGGAGTTGGGCTGTTAGTCTTTCAATCTTCGTTATACCCAGTGGTGGAGAAAATCATTGGTCCTGTCTTACTTTCTCGAATATTAGGAGTAAGTAACAACTTTAAACTTGAGAAAATCATTTGTCCTATCTATTTAATTATTCTGGGATTCTGCAGATCATCTCAATTCCTCTCTTAACAAGTTACCACTATATAGCCATGTTATCCGGGGTCACACTCTCCATTGTGTTGAACTGTGCATCTCTACTAAAGAATGTTTTTTCTGTAAGTGATTTTGATTTTTATGTTTTAATTATCATAGTCGTTCAGTTAATTTTGCATCTAATGAGTGTCTTGTTACATTCAAACTGCCTGTGACATTCTTATAATAGCACTGTCTCTTGTTTCTTTCATTCCAGCCATACGTTTCCATTTTCCAACTAGTTAAGAGGAAAAAAAAATAAAAATCTTGTTTGTTTTCGGCTTTTGCAGTTGGAAACTATTATTTAAGTTTTAATTTTCGGCACCAAAACAACCGAATCAACTATCTACTTCAAAAACATAATCTCAAAGGTTGGATTAACAAAATTAAATTTTCAACACCGGAAACTATAAATCGGGCCTGGGAACATACTTGTTCTTCTTTTGTATCGATTTATATTGCTCAACCACAACTTTTTGAATTTGCAGATATGTCCATTTCAAATATCTTATTTTTGGTCTAGACTCTCATCACATTTCTGTATATGTAAATTTTCTATGCTATGTACTCACGCAATCATCTTCTTTCCTTACAACCCAGATCTCCATTGTGACGGGGCTGTTCATTTTACAAAATAGAGCCGTGGTAATTCTTTATTGTTTTNNNNGTTATTTCTTCTCTTACGCACTTTGATTGAAACAATTTTATCTAAATTAAAGGATCAACACCAAAGAGGGGCGGCCAACGGCATAGCCATGACCATGATGTCACTTTTCAAAGCAGCTGGTCCATCAGGAGGTGGAACATTGTGAGTTTCTCCTTTCTATGTTTAACCTTTCAGAAACGAGCCAAACTACTACAACTGCTTTTCAAATATATGATATGATGAGAATTAAAAATAAAATAAAATGTGGATTCGACATTTTTGATTAAAACAGAATGCCCCAAGAGCCAAGAAGACATATTTCCATGTTTTACAACATAGATAAGTCAGGCTTACATGATAAGTTTCAACATTTTCCCTTCTCTTGCTAACTAGTTGTGTTGGAATGCAGATTCTCTTGGGGACAAAAGCGCTCTAATGCGGATTTCCTTCCAGGTACGTACGGACATCCTATGGCTCTGACCCTTATCAGGCTTAGTGTAGGCATGCCTACACTCAAAATAAATATGCTCCCTTTACTGCTTTCCACTATATCCTTAATTGTCATAACTTCAAAGCCCTAAAATAGTTAACACAACTGCGCTGCACCTATATGAAATAAACAAGAATCGCAATAATCTTCTCTAACATCAACGCAATAGATTGTTAATTGCGTTGCACCTATATGAAATAAACAAGAATCGCAATAATTTTCTCTAACATCAACGCAATAGATTAAATAACGCTCAATACAAAAGTAGAGAAATATTTCACTTATATGGTTATTTTGGTTTTATCAACTATTAATCAAATACATGACGTTTTTTATTTTTGTACATATTTTTCCATTATTACTCTCATTTTATTAGATTTATAGAATCGGGGGAAGAGAGTGCGGTCTCACCAGATGAAGCGCACCATAAGAGGGTGATCCTAGTTGCATCTTAGTGAGGTTCCATCCCAAAACCAATTGGTGATGGGAGGAGTAGTTCACTAGGCTTATATACTAGACTCATTTTCTCTATAGAATCAATGTGAGACAACTCACAAGTGATATACCAACACATTTAGCTATTAATTACACTACGTCTTTTCATATTCATTCTTTATCTTTTCTCAAAACATTCATCTGTGTCTTCATTAATGAGGGTTATTATTGACAAAAAAAAATTCTTAATTACTGTGAAACTTTTCAAAACACCACGACACTCATTATAAATAGGATAGAGTATTACTCTGACCTATTTTTCTATGATAAGCTTGAGAAATGGTCTTCACCTGTTCAGTTTTTCCTTTTGTCATCTTGTTTTGGACTTTGGTTATGGATAAATTTCACCTTATGTTCCATTTATTAAAATTTAAATTTTAGCGAGAAAAAATTCAAGTTGCCAAAAATAATCACCACTATTTTTTTTAAAGGATAACCTAGTTCTTTTCTGAACGATTTTTTTTTTTTTAAATTACAAAAAGACACAATAATGTGCGAGACATTATTATTGTAAAGATAGTTATTGTAAACAAAATTGAAGTTATTGTNGAACAATTTATTATTTTTATCTATTATTTTTCATATTTGTGCCCTCATTCAGTTTGCAAATTGAAAGATGAATAATTAAGGGTCAATTTTTGTGGGAATATAATGTTTGAATAGGAATAGTAATTCATCCCGTGCACATATTACATTAAGAACCATATATACTTTGTATATATAAAAAAAAGTTATTTAATAATGTGCATGATATTTATAATCGAACTTTCATTAACTACCGTTAGCTAAAACATTAAATTTCAATAAAAAAAAATAAACGTAGATTTATCAATTATTATATTAATATAATAAATAATATAACTTTATATATACTCTGAGTATTATAATAATAATAATTGTATAATTGACATTTAAATTTTATATAGCATCTTTTAAGATAGTTACCGTTTTAATTACATTAATAATATAATCATATAGTAAAACAAATGTACAATTTGGATTATTTCATTTGATAATTGCACATGGATAATTTGATACTGATACGTTCAATATTTTTATTATAAAAAACTTGGATATTACAAATTATCAGAACTAACTTGCAAGACATTAATAACAATTTAAGTTTATTAGCACTGACATATAGTCTAAACTAAAAAACCGTATTCAATCAGCAGACTAATTTGTGTGCATAACAACTACAAGTTCAAATTGAAATGAAAACTGATAAAAGTAACATAATTTGATAAAATTAATATAAATCCACATTACTAAACAAAAAATTTAGGTAGGATTTTATTTCGCTACATATAGAACCACATCAAATTAATAATGGAATCCCTACAAATGAAAAACGCGAAATAATTAATAGGATTATAGTTCATATCTATAAACTTATTTTCTAAGACAAAATCGAAACATACATATTACTTCTAAATAATTGCCTTCAAACTCAATTTTCTTGTATTATTCAAGATGGTTAAAAGTTAAGTATGAATAATTTGAATTTCAAATTTTAAAATTAATTTTCAACCATACGAAGGGATATATAGTGGTATTATTGAAAGGTTACATAAAACTATAATATTACTTATCATTTACCAAAATAACAAAACGCATAACTAAGTTATGTGTGGTTAGTTTTACAAACACTTATTCTACTCACAGTATAATAATTAATGCGCGTTACTTAACTAAAACAGATCGAATGAAAATATGGTTACCACCCACCATTAACACTACTAGGCATGACACCACTTAGAGCATCTCCAATGTGAGATGTTGACTTAATAAAATGTTAGCCACATCATCAAGTTATAAAGTGAAAACAAAAATTAATCTCAAATCCATAATGTTATGGACTCTTTTATGTTGACATAGAGACAATAAACATCCAAAGTGTGAAGCCCACTTTCTAGTTTTTCAAAGAGTGTTTGAAAGCCAACTCATCAAAGATATAACTTATTTTAAGCTTTTGAAAGGAATGCATTGGAGATGTGCATTCCAAGTTAAAGTCTTCTCTTTTGACATTCATATTACATGGATTTACATTCCATTCACCATTTGACATGTGTTCAAATTTAATTAATGTTCAAAGTGGAGCATTGGAGATGCTCTAATGGTTGGTGTCCTGCATGCGGCGGATTTTTTCTCCTCTGGACACATTTCCCAAAAATACCCACAATGTGGCATGACTCAGCACATGTCATAATGATTTTTACCTTTTCTAACATTGTATAAATAGCCGAGTTTTAACCCAATAAGTGGCGCAAAATAGTCTTNTTTTTTCTCAAACGGATAAATTTTATATCAAAAGAGCAGCAACATACAGAGGTCAATCAACTGATTGTTTGTTCCTGCAATTTAGCCACTTAAATAGCTAAACCTAAGAAACATGGGATAGCTAAAATCTTGCTTCCCTAGGACTATAGCTGCACCCCAAACAGAACCAAAACAAAACTATATACACCAACAAGCGCAAAAAACTGACAAAACAGACAACCCCATGAGCCCAAATTCCCTAAAGCTAATTACAGACCAGCTTTGATTTAAGAGTAAAGACGATTGGCCCAAAACCAGACCAAAGCCAGCCAGTTGCAGCAACACCCTACTCATGCACAACACCCTCCCCTGGTTACTTCTCATCAGCTCCACCTTTCCCATTCACAATTGCAAATTCTCTCCATTCCTTTATGGCACCTTCAGGTATCTCCTGTTCTGATTTCCACTCCCTTTGAAAGATCCAATTATTTCTTGTGCGCCACAACCACCATAGTAAGTAGGTTGTTAGCTCAATTCTTTCTTTCTTGCACTTCACCCTGTCCATAGTGATTACTGCTTCCCACCATTTCCTGAAATCCTCCTCTCCCAGTTGAGTCCAGACAGTTTCCATATCCTCTTGGCTCTACCACAAGCAAACATCATGTGTTCCAAGGTTTCCTCTGATTCTCCACATTGCTGACAGAACTTATCCACTTCCGTCCTTCTCTTCTGTAGTTGATCTTTAACTCCCAAAAACTTGTGCCAACATTTCCAGACAAACATTTTGATCTTGCTTTTGACCTGTAATGCCCAAATTCTCTTCCAAATCTTCTTTTGCACCACTTGATTGTCACTAGTTTCTAGTTTCTGGTAAGTCCTTACAAGCGCTCCACCTGTTCACCAAAGTATTATACATATGTTTGACAGAGAATGTGCCTTTTGGACAATTAATCCAATGCAGATGATCCCTTTTTCCTGCTGTTGGTGGTTTTAGCTTGGGAGTTTCTGCAGCTTCAATGGGTATGAATGTTTGTTGAATCAATTCCTTGTCCCAGCCTCCATCCTCTTCATTGCATAGATCAGAGACTTTGCTCAGAGAGATTCTATCCCTTTCAAAACTGCAAAATGGTCTAAAGAAAGGAGAATTGGGAATCCAAGGGGACTCCCATATATCAATAGACCTACCATCACCAATTTTATACCTCATCCCCAACCTAAGGACATACCTAACTTTCAACCAAGATTTCCAAAGCCATGAATCTGTATTTTTAGGGACAACATCAAACAGATTCTGGTTATGGAAATATTTGCCCTTAATAACCTTACTCATCAAAAGATTGGGCTGGGATATGACTCTCCAAAGTTGTTTAGCAATCAGAGCATCATTAAAACAAGAGAAGTTTTTAAACCCCAAGCCCCCTTTTTCCTTTGGTAATGCTAATCTATTCCACCCTGCCCAATGGATTCTTTTTGTTTTTCCCCTTCAGAACACCCCCACCAAAAAGCAGCAACAACTTTACAAATACTAGAACAAATACCTATAAGCAGTCTAAAACAAGACATTATATACACTGGTAAAGCCCCCAGCACTAACTGAATGAGGACTTCCCTCCCTCCTTCACTCAAGAACCTGTGTTTTTCCAGTTAGACACTTTAGAAAGGACACAATCTGACACATAATGTAATAGTCACATTGACGATTTACTACAACAAGTATGTCCCAATTATTTCTTTGACGATTTACTCACATTGTTGCACATATATTTTATGCGGATCTCAATTCGTTGCATCTTATATCTAAAATTCGCCAGTTACAAATAGGTGCATTAAAAACCACACATCAATCGCCGGTTGGCTGGTTTCCGTCTTCAAAGAGTTATCCTCAACTTGCCTAAGAATAAATAGTACTTCTTCCCAATTTATTATTTAATACAACTTTTCATGTTTCAGATAAGTTAAATTTTAGTTTGTTTTTTTTCTTTTTTTGTTTACTCTTTTGTATTTTCCTAATCCTTACAATGACTTACAAACTTGTTTCTTAATGCAGGCGATCAAATGGTTTTCCTTGTCCTGAACGTGATTGAGGCAACTGGAGTTATTCTGACGTTCAAACCATTTTTGGTCGAAAGGCATAATAATTGAGTAATAAACTGAGAATGTTTGTTATTGTTTAGCTGCCCGATGTAGTATTTGGCAGTTACATTCTATGTAAAGATGGCAATGGCAGAATTTCATTTTTTGTCCATTATATTGGCCATTTTTAGAAAAGATCCAACATTTTGGCAGACATCAAACTTAGTACTATAAGTTGAAAAATTCATCATATTTGGTCCATTAATCAGGTAATCCGGATAATTTACCTACGTGTAATGATTGGTATTTTCCACGTCATTTTTCGAGCCAAATTAATTTTCAGGTGGCGATGACTGGACGAATGCCAGTGTAGACAAAATTTCATTTTTGGTCCATTATATTAGTCATTTTCCAATAAAGATCCAACATTTTCGCTGACATCAAACTTAGTGCAATAAGTTGAAAAAATTCATCATATTTGGTCCAATAATCAGGATCGACAATAATCAGGCGATCCGGATAATTTGCCTACATGTCATGATTGGTATTTTCCACGTCATTTTTCAAGCTAAATTAATTCCAGTGCGTGTGCCAAAAGCCCTTTGTGGCCACGCCGCATCCATCTTCTACGCATGATTTTTCTTTAAATTATCGCTAGTCATGATCTTTAAATATTTATAAAAATTGTGAGAAAACACTGACAGTCCCTTATTTACGGTAAAAATACTAAGATTTTCCACGGACGACGTCAATTTGATACACAAATATCTCGAACCGATTGAACTGCCCCACCACGAACTGGAATCATCTTGATTGCCTGGCAATATGCCATGAGGGGTCCCAGTCTCAAGTCAGTACAAGACCATGGTAAAATAGGCAAAATATCGAGAATGCTTGTGTGTATGTATGTGCGTTATGTGTAAAGTAAATTACATGACACCCTTATATAGATCAAGTAAATAACATGGCACCCTTATATAGATTGGGTTGCTTACTGCCCAAAAGAGTCCTGGTTAGGAAAGAGATATTCTCATATCTACTTTTATAACGAGCCACGCCTCTAGAATCATTATTTTTTGATGAGATAGAGTTTTCATCCCAGAAGGATTCTTTCTTCTCTAGGGCTTTGGAAATCCCGAGGTCGGTATTTTGTCCTCCTGAGCTCATATGCCACGTGTGCTACCCTCAGGTTGTCCCAACCTCCTTGCATTTCCAACCTCAGTTGTAAAGTTCCGAACCAGTTTCTATATATTAGCTCGACTTTATTTCCAAAAATAGCATGTTCATAATTATGCCGAGTTTTATTTATTATTACGTTCATTATTTTGATTAATAAGTCCTAAGTCTAAGCCATTGAGGATTCGTTCGAATCTTATTTCGGAAACGAAATAAAATTTTAAGTCTAAGTCTCGATTTATAATTTTAATCGAGTATTAGAAAAGTTGGAATTTCACAAATTTTCGAGCTGAGCCTCAGCCCAATCACTAGCGAGTCCAATCATATTCGACCCATTTTATTTTCGACCCAAATAGCAATAAATCGGCCTTTCAGTTGGCCCATTTTAAATCAACCCAATAATTCAGCCCTGTAGCGCCCCGTTTGTTTATTAGAATTTCCTGAATATTAATTGATTGCTTATAATTGATTATTTGACTTTGCTTTATTTATTTGCCGGTTATCTTATTTATTGCTCGTCTTGTTTATCTGCTTGCCTATTTAATTGGTATGTGACATTGTTTATGTGAATATTATGTGTTTATTTATTATTTATACATGTGAGAATTTATTAGGATTTATTGAGTTAGAAATAAATTGTTTTGGCGATTTTCGGTTTAATCGCGTAAACCGAACCTCTTTCGTTTTATTCGTTTTCAAGCCGTTTCGACCCACTTTTGGTATTTTTATCCAACTTAGGAGATTTATTCTCCGCCCATCTTGTGAGCTCTAAACCAGCCGAAAGGAATTAATATCCAGCCCAAACAGGGAAGTAATATCCAACCCAAACAGGGAAGTCCTATCTCGGTCCATGTGTTTTATTTTCCGCCCATTTCCCTTAGTTTTATCTTCGGCCCATTTAAATTATCTTGGCTAAATCCATTAATCTATTTTGAAAGCGTGGGAAAGATTTCATTCCAAACCGTGTGACGTGTATATCTTGACCAATTCCATGTCCTTTCCCACGAAATCGGGTTGCGATTTTGGGCAAGATTTCTTACTTCCGCTCGTACGTCTCTCGCTATCAAATATCCGAGGAAATTTCTCGGCCTCACGTCAGTTTATCATCGTCCCCTTCATCTCACAGCAGCATCGCGCGACCAANATTCTTCGCGGCGGTTTCCCGTTGCTCCAGTTCGGCGAGAGTCCTGCCGCCGGCGTTCCTCCGAGCAGCACACCTGTCAACGACCGCTCTCAACAGCCGACGTTTCCTCCATCAACCTCTAGCCGCCACGAACAACCGCGTCCAAACGACCAACCACCGTATCCCACGAAAACGTCGACCACCGTGAGCGATCTGACGAGGAGCCTCTGAGATCTACGCGTGTGTCGCCGGGAGGAGTCGAATTTTCGGCCAGATTCTGTCCGTGCGTCACTTTCCCCCAGCTGAAGGTCGAGACCAGCGGCGAGAGAGCTCTGTCCGCGCGATTAATCGACGAGGTCGAGCCCCGCCGGTTCCTCCTATTCGCAGCAGTCTGCTCGGAGTCCCGTCAATCCTCCTCAGCCGCTCGATTTCGTCCCATCAAGCAGCAGTGACCGGTTTCCTTCTTCAACGAGCAGTGGCCGGTTCGGGCCCGTGCGAGCAAGTTCAGCGGCACCCCGTCGGCCTTCGTTCAGGCCTGAACAGCAGCGGCTGTGCGTGAAAAATTGAGAGCCGAGAGCGGAGATAATCAGCGAGTAGTCGAGCCCTTTTCTCCGATCTCCTTCATCATTTCTCCTTTTTTTCCCGTAAGAGGTAATTTGGCTGAATCCTTTAAGTCTCATTCATGGCCGAGAAAACGTGTTATGTTATGATCAATTGCAGTTTCAATTAGGAGTTAAAGCATGATTAGATTTTATGAAGGTTGAGCATGAGGAATGTATGATTTTGCCTTGATATGTGTAGATCCTGCTGAACCTTGATTATGCAAAGTTTGTGCTGCAGTGTGGTGTTCATTTCAGAGATTACATGTTCAGTCATATGTTCTATTGATGTCTTAATTGATTTCTGTTATGACTGAGCTTGAATTAGTTTTTATCAGTGCAAAGGGCATGTTTAACTTAGTACAGATAAAAGAGATATGTTTGCTTTTCTGCCTACGAGTGTGGAGTATAAGGATTAAGGAGTAATATTGTTCACTGATTGATATGAAGTTTGTGAGTAGTGTAAGAAATTTAACGGGCATACTCATAACTATCAGGCGGAATTGAATAAACCCTAAGCATGTAATTCTATCAGTTCATAGAATATGGATCTTTGCATTAATTAAATTGCACATAGAACTTACAAGAATCCAGCTTATAGTCCTTCCCTGTTTTCTTGATCTATGATGTTGATCTGCGATCTCTTCCTCTTCGTAATCTCATGGATCTATCTATCTTTCTCATAATCTCCAATGATATCTTCAATGATGGATTCGCCTTTTCATATGAATTGTTTCTCTCTCCCGCGTCTCTCGTCTTTTCATAAAGCCCTTGATGTTGAGAACTTTATTTGTGTATGAGATGGGAGAGAGGGGCATGTAGTATATATAAGAGGAGTCCTACAAACCTATTCCTACTAACATTCCCCATGTTCTAACCTAACTTAACGTCCAAGTCAAACATCACAAATTGGACTCTTTAATATTAGAACATTAATAATCCATTAAATACATATTCACCTTAATTAAGTTTGACTATTAATTCAATTAGGTCCAACTAATTATATGGTCCACAATAATAGAATAATATAAAATATTATTACATTCTCCCACTTGGACCATATAGTGTCGAAACCAAAAGAACTACTTTAAGCGCGCACATTTCACCAAACTTATGATTGAATACATATATCTATAAATTTAAAATCAAACTAGAAATTAACCGAGTCATGGCGGTCACAAGTCTTCGAGCGACATGATCCCTTCCATGTACCACAAATCATTTCTAATTCAACTTTGCTTTAATATGGAACAAGCTATTCGTACCATAACCATAAGTCATCCAACTTTTATGTATATACTATAAAATCAACAATCCATAATGATGATATTGTATGTGAAGAATCAAACATCTTTAATTGAATTCAATAAGTGTCAAAATCATTAATTGAGCAATTTCATTCAGTATCGGTCAGTCCAACAAGGCCCCATTCGTTATTCCCAATATTCTTTATATGCCTTGCAACGGCTATGGGGAATAACCCTTTAATGGATCCACTTTCATGCAATTAGTACTAAAATGCTCAAATGACACTTTATTTCTTCACTTATATTTTACGACCAAGTATTTAAATTTTATGTGATTCACACCCTTTGAATACTTGTCATACCTTTAAATATTATTGCTACGATACTGCGATAATTCTTAGCGATTTGGACAAGATGTCGACATTTCCAAGTCCTAAGATAAAGCACCGTAGCCCTAAATTTGACTTGTGGCCTCAAAGCATACCACAAACTCAACCCTACACCGTGGAAGTCGCGATGATGGACTTTTGTTCCACCTTTCCATAATTTTGCTCCTTTAGACATTATGAGCAAAAGTCTGAATCCGAGTATCCAACTATAATAAAATAATTTGGATCCTCTTAAAGTTAGCATGTGTTCTTTAATGCCTTGTAAGTACCTTAAAAATTTCTTTGCAGCATAATCATTTAAAGTCATTTTTATAGTTGTTTAACCTACCAACAACAAATATATTATCAAACCTAGTACAGGTTCGTCTCGCTTAAGACTCCTAATCATTTATATCTAAGGAATTTCCTCCATCACTTTTCATTCCATTTCACCTTTCAAACATTTTGTTAGGCTAAATGTGTCCCTTTTATGAATTAGAATTATACGGAACAACCATCCATTATCTCTCTAATAAAACTTTTATGGGATAAATTTTTAGTCCTTGTGATCTATTCCAGAATATTTCAATTCCAATTAGCAAGGACGTTTCATCCACATCCTTTATTTCATAACTTTTTAGAGAGAATACTTTACTTCGTGCAACATGTCCACATTATTAGCAGCTATACTATGTCATCGACATACGAAACTAAATAACAAATCTACTCCCACTGACCTTAATGTAGATACACCGATCTACGGTATTCTCTACAAAACCATAAGCAGTGATGGTATCATTAAACTTAAGATACCATTGACGAGAGACTTATTTTAGTCCATATATCGATCTATTCAACTTACACACTAATGTTTCATTTCTTGTGATCTAAAAAACTTTTAATTAGTTCATGTAGATCTCC